AACTAGAAAAAAAATACAGGAGAGAAAGGCTTATATAGCAAGAACTACTAAAAATAAAGGTATGGAAAGCCTGTTACTAAACACTTCCTACATGTAGGACACTCTGCTAGGTATATGGAGCTTCCAGTCTGGTGGGAAGAGAGGCAAATAAATGATCACAGTATTTAAGAACTCTGCAGCACTCTTATGGAATATGGGCTGGAAAGGGAGAGATGTTGGTTTGTGGAAGACTTCCTACAGGATAAGAGAGGTAGCTGAGTTTTGAAAGAGAAATAGACATTACTCAGGAGACAAGAGGAAGAGATGGAATGGTAGGCCAGGTAGCAAGTTTAAAGGTCCAGAGGAATAAATGAGCAGCATGTGTTTGAAGGAACTATGAATAGTACAGTATAACCACAACACAGGGATTGCAGTGAGGGGAAGATTAGAGAAGAGGGCAAGAACTGAATCATGAAGGGCATTGTGTCATATGCTGTGGAATTAAGGTTTGACTTAAAGACAATGAGAAACAATTATGATTTGCAGAACAGTTACCAGCTGCTAATTTAAAACTGCTACATGTGGAAAAGTTCCATTTTTGACCATTATATGCCGAGTCTCCCTAGACAGAAATTCTAGGTGCCTGGAATGGAACCATGGGATTTGGTACATGGACTGTAGGAACAGAGTATTTGGAACTGGACTGAAATAATGGGTGTGGTCTGAAATCTGAATAGTGCTGAAAAGTTCAGATTACCAAATATCTACCCTTTAGTTGAAGGACAAAGTGTGTATACAGCTATTGAATACAATGAGTTTATGACTGATTAGGGAAGGGGCACGTAGCAGTGAAGAGAGATATAAGGTGGGAAGACTCTTGGAAAACTTACCTGAAAATTTGGTAAGAAAGCTGTCGAGAGTCGCTGGTCACTTGGAGACACTGAACTTTAACCTGTGGGATATGTGAATAGTCCCAAGAGAACTTATATTTGTGTGGCAAATACAATTACAAAATATGGGTCCGGCATATCACCTCCTTTAAAAACCAACAAACACAAATTAAGCAGCATGATACGTTCATCTACTAGAATGCTACGAAGCTGTAAAAAAAGACAAATTCTATGTAATGACCTAGAAAAAAAAAATCTCAAAGATCCACAATTAAGTGGAAAACACAAAGGCACAGAGAAATGGATATGATGGGGAAAAAAAGAGCGGGGGGGAAGTAAGACCTACTGGACGAAAAATAAGAAAGTAAGAATGGGATTACTTATGGGTGGGGGAAGGGGTGGTGGAAACCAGGCATATGGAGAGTAAAGAAAGTGCGAACCTGACACTAATATATCCTTTATGCTTTTTAGCTTTTACACATGAATGTATTGCATGATCAAGAAAAAGACTTTTCGGGTAGCATTTGTTAACCTTTTAAAGTAATGTTTGTTTTTAGGATCACACATTTCTGAATATGAAAACAGTAAATGAACCATTTCTTTTTCCTCTTCTCTCACCTTTTAAATTGTAACATAAAGATCATTACGTGACAAAGAAGAAGCTGGTTACAGACCTTAAAGACACAAAAGATTTTAGACAGGACTTCCATTCAGAGACATCTGGGTTTTGTGCAGCCACTTCGAACACTTCTACTGGCAACTCAGATCCTTGTCTTCCCTATTCTTGTGAATTGCCTTTATGTTATTTTTCCCCAAAATGTACATGTTCATCGGGGGAACATACGGACAGGGCATCAAACTTCTCTCGGGACTGTAGAAACCATGAAGAAACATTGGAGCATTGTATGCACAGTGACTCTTTGCAGAAAATACAAGTGAAACCTTTTAAAAATTCATTGGCCTGCCCTGGGGCACAGAAGGCTATTACTTCTTCAGAGGCAGTTGACAGATTCATGCCTAGGACAACACAACTGCAGGAGCGGAAAAGAAGAAGAGAAGATGATCGTAAAATTGGAACTTTTCTTGGAACAAGCACGAGTAGTAATGAGGTTATGATCGGGCCTCTGTTACCAGACATACCCAGAGTGGATATGCATGATGACTCGTTGAATACAACAGCGAATTTAATTCGTAATAAACTTAAAGAGGTAAGATCATTTTTAAAAGACTGTTTTTAAGAGATCATTTGGTTAGAGGGCTAACAACTAAATGGAGATTTGTGGCAACTAAAGTATTGTCATTAATTTTTTTCATTTTCAGTTTTTTCATGTGTTTCTCTGCAGTTTCCTGTTGAATTAACTGATTTTGACAAACAGGAAAGTATGTGCTTTGCTATCATTAGCCTTTGCTTTAAACAGTAAGTAGAGGGGCGCCTGAGTGGCTTAGTCGGTTAAGCGTCCGACTTTCGCTTGGGTCATGATCTAGCGGTTCGTGGGTTCGAGCCCCGCGTCGGGCTCTGTGCTGACTGCCAGCTCGGAGCCTGGAGCCTGTTTCAGAGTCTGTGACTCCCTCTCTCTCTGACCCTCCCCTGCTCACGCTGTCTCTCTCCTCTCTCCTAGAAATAAATAAAACATTAAAAAAAAATCTTTTTAAACAGTAAGCAGAACAAGGGCACCTGGGTGGCTCAGTCAGTTAAGCGTTTGACTCTTGATTTCAGTTCACGTCACGCTCTCTGTGTTCATGAGTTTGAGCCCTGCATCGTGCTCTCTGGTGTCAGCACGGAGCCTGCTTTGGATCCTCTGTTCCCACCCCCACCCCCCAACCCTCCCCAACTGGTTCTCTTTCTCTCAAAAATAAACATTTTAAAAAACATGAACAGAACATATTCTGTGTCACTCTAGATATAAAACATAAAAGCAGTGGTTTTGGTCTGTGAAATCAGTCTGTGAGAGTGGAGCCCAGGCCTTCTCTTTTTAAAGGTCCCCAGACGGTTTCATTATGAGCCAAAGTACAGAACTGTTGTGTTGAAGGAAGACTTCTTTCTTTAGTTCAGCATTCTTACAAATTATATCAAAATGCTTTTTGCTTCTTTGATAAAGAGAGCCATAGAATAAGGTGAGATTCTAAAGACTAGGCCCTAAGGTCTAGTCAAAATGTAAACTTCTTAAAATAGATTACAAGTCAATTGTGGTACTTAAGTAGTAACTTTTTTACATGTTTACATAATCATTTTCCATTTTCTAAGCACAGATAAAAGAAAGCTAACATTTGAGTTAGCTTTTGAAAGGTAGCTTTTTGTGGGGTAGCCTTTTAGAAATCAAACTGAGGGAAAAGAACTCTTCTCTTAAACTCTGGAGGTTCAGAAAGCACTTTTCATGCAGTTGTATATGTATTTTAAAATGTGATTAAGGGAATCTAAGGTAGCTTAATTTATTATATATATATGTTTTTACCTGAAAATTACTATCTGATTAAGGATGAGGGCTTATGTTAACAATATTTAAAGTCTATGAACACAATTCCATGTTTAAGCCTCTTTTTAAATGTTTGAGTTTTTTCCTTCCTTCAGATACAGTTGAACTGAGACATAGATACAGACACATAGCTCTCTCAGCCAGAACTATGTTTTCAAGAAAAAAGTTGTTAGGTCCAAATCCTAAGTAAGGAGACAAGAAAACAACAAAATTGAGAAATACTGAATACAACATACACGGTTTCTAATAATTTTACATTTTAAGTGAAGACTGTTTTACTCTGCTTTAACTCATTTTCCACTCTTTTTCTTCTTTTTTTTTTTTTTAAATGTTTTTTTTTTTATTTATTTCTAGGAGAGAGAGAGAGAGAGACAGCGTGAGCAGGGGAGGGTCAGAGAGAGAGGGAGTCACAGACTCTGAAACAGGCTCCAGGCTCTGAGCTGGCAGTCAGCACAGAGCCCGACGCGGGGCTCGAACCCACGAACCGCAAGATCATGACCTAAGCGAAAGTCGGACGCTTAACCGACTAAGCCACCCAGGCGCCCCTTTCCACTCTTTTTCTGATGTGTTTGGTTTCATTTCCCTAGGAAATTGAGGATTATACCATTCTCTGCTTATTTCTCCAAATTTTTCATACCACCCCCTTAAGCCTCCATGTCTCTAAATACATCAGATATTATCAGTCTTTCAAGTTATGCAGAATGGAGATTTCTATCTCTGTTCATAAAATACCAAGTAACTTTGTATCCATAAAGGATTGTTAAAGTAGAGTATGTGTTTACCTTTCTCCCCTCAAAAATTTTTTTTTCTTGTTAAATGGCTTTAGAAATGTTAGCCCCATCAGTATTTGGAAGAAAACTTTGTGCCCAAGTCATAGGCTATACGCTGAAGTTGGGCTAACTCTGCCTCAAATGTGATGGCAAGAATTGAACTACTAAATGTATAGCCTAATAGTGTATTTATTCTTGTACTATAAAAACTAAGTTTTGATGATTCTCTTTTTTTAAACCAGGTAATTTCATCTACACCAAAACTTCCAGAAGACAAGCTGGAAGATGTACATACAAGTCGTCCATTAAAACAAAGAAGAAGGATATAGATCGCTAGCAGCAAGTTGTATTTTCTAAGGGACTATTTATCTTTATTTTTTAGCCTGTCATTTTAAGAGATTTTACTGCTGGTATTTTTTAATGCACTTCTCTTTGTGATACCATTCAAGCTATTTAATAAAGTTTCATCTTGTAAAATTAGCTTATCATGCACAGAATACATGTCAGCCAAATATGTTCTTTAAAAAAAAAAAAGAGTTAAAGTTTCCAGACTTCAGTTACATTTTATTGGCTAGAACTGGGCTCAGGCTGTTCCTAACTGGGGAGGTCTGGAGTGGTGAATGTTTTAGGTCTCCAACTTCTCTGGTTGAGGAAGCAGGAGAAAAGAGGGCTGTGAAAGGCTTATTCACAGTATTTCCCACAAGAGCCAAGGTTGTTGGCTAACCTAAAAAATAAAATTAGTTTACTTATTACAGGTATTATTTTCATCATCTTTAATATTACGGAAAGTTTTTATAATATTAGTTTTCACTTTGCAATAGTTATATGTAAATTAAGTGAAGCAAAGATAAAAACTTTGCAATGCAAATAAAGACAGGCAACCAGGATCTGTTTCTGATTTTAATACCAGTATTAAGTGATTTACATTCAAAAACTAGAAGTCAGGATGTGTCTGAACGCCAGGGCTTCAAACTCAATACAACTCTGTAAAGTAAAAAAGTTAAACTATTAGAACAAAGCCGAGGGACATCTGGGTGGCTCAGTCGGTTTAAGGTTAAGTGGCCGACTTCGGCTCAGGTCATGATTTTTACAGTTCGTGCGTTCAAGCCCCACATCGGGCTCTGTGCTGACAGCTCAGAGCCTGGAGCCTGCTTCTGAATTTGTGTTTCCGTCTCTCACTGACCCTCCCCTGCTCACACTCTGTGTGTGTCTCTCTCTCAAAAAATAAACATTAAAAAAAAATTTAGAACAAAACCGAAATTAGGAGCCTATATATTTTTTAATCTCTAAGAAGAAGGCAGAAACAAATCTGCATTTGTAAATGCTAGACTGCTAACCACTGCATCTAGCATACCCACATTGTTTTTCGTATCAGAGTATATAATTGGACACTTGAATAAGTCTGTTCAAGCTGTTTGCATTTTTCTTGTTTGTTTTTACTCCTAAAAATAACTTGAGAAGGCCCATACCAAACTGTCTGTGTTTATTTTGTCTATATACTTAAAGGCCTCTTGCCTAACGGATTGAATTTGAATATACAGATTAAGAAGGTTCATCATCAGTTATGACCTGATTCAAACTTGGTGGGATGGCACCAAATGGTGGATGGTATTAAAAGAAGCTGGAGGCAAGGGGTTTGGCCTTTCTTTCTTGTAATTAATTAGATATTTATTTCTGCTGAACTCCCAGGTAAAAGACACATTAGAAACCCACACATAGAATTAGAAAGAGCAAGTTACTGTCTACGACATTCTTCTCAGACTATAAGACACTATGAATCTCTACCTCAGGGTCTTATTAAAATGCAGGTTCTGATGGTGGTGGCCAGGAGCTGGTGGGTGATGGGAATGCAGAATTGTTTACAGTTTTCCAAGATGGAAAGCATTCTGGAAATTGGTTGTATAACATTGTGAATGTACTTAATATTAGAGAACTATATGTTTACAGTTGGTTAAGATGGGTAAATTTTATGTTGGATGTATTTTATCACAATTTAAAAAAATTCTCTGCCAGCCTTAAAGGGAGGAGCTTCTCAGTGGGTTCAGTGTTGCTGAATGGATTCCTGACTTTTTCAGAACTTTTCAGGATCTTTACATTTATTTTATGGAGGCCAGCATGCCTCCCCATCCCCACCAACATGCATAATATTTGATCACAATGAGAGGAAGAAACCTTTGCTGTGTCAAGCATCATTAAAAAAAAAAGGATGGAGTCAGTTGGTTTGGAGTGGGGCCTAAGATTCTGCATGTTTCACAAGTTCCTAGGAGATACCATCACTGCTGGTGCACAGACTGCACTCTGAATAGCAAGGTTCCCAGTAACTGGGCTACTGAGTTCTGGAGTAACTAGAGATCTGTTGGTGTTCCATCTGACCTGAGTACTTGCTCCTCTCCAGTCCATTCTGTGTGGCTTCCTCCATCAGTCTCAAAATAAGTGTGTCTTTTACACACCGCGTTTTACTATATATTTCTAGGAATAAACTACAGTGGGGCAAGTTAGAGAAATGAGCTGAAGATAGTGCAGGAGAGCTCACCATGCAAGTTTATGCATAAAATTGCCATGTAGATTACTACAGGTTTGCAAAGCACAGGTGATCAAAGGAAGAATTAAAAGGAAATGTTAATAAGCCAAACCGATTTGACACTCAATTGAGCTGGCTCAGAAAACTTGTCAAATTCATATATGAAAAACCTTCCTGAGCCCAAATAGTATAAAGTACTTTAAATGTATTTAAGATTTTTAAAACTTAATTATTCTTGTTTTTTGGCATCATTTGGGTTGAAAGATATCAAATTTTATCCTAGCAGTTTTGGTGGGTAGTTGCTGAGTACACTATTCATTGTTCTATCCCTTAAGCATGTCAATATACCCTAGTTTCTTTGGGAAAATACTAATAAACATGTCAAGCAAGTACTGCTGTCTGATCCCTTAAAAAATTTGCTCGTAACCACTTAGAGCCGTTGGCACTGCACCTTTGCATCTGGTAAACATGGTCCAAACACCTCCAACAAAAGTCTTTCTTCTCTAACTGCTCTTTCAAAGTCCACAAAAGATATCTTGCCATCGTTGTCATAATCCTAGAGGAAGATGATTTCTTGATAAATGATAGTTTTTAATTTCACATGGGAAATAGCTCTTTGCCCAGTAAAACTATTAGTTTACAATTCTGTGGGCACTACTTACATAAATCAAAAGGTACTTATTTATTGAGGCTACTTAACTTTATTCCTGGAAGTCTATTTAGAATAGATGGTATTATAGGCTGAAAGTCTGTGTCCCTCTTGCCTCTAAATTCGCATCTTAAAGCCCCCAATGTGATGGTTTGGGACGTGTCTTTGGGAGGTAATTAGGTTAGATGAGGTACTGAAGGTGGAGCCCCCATGATATAATTAGCATCTTTGTAAAGTAGACACCAGAGCTCCCTCTTCCTGCCACGTGAGGACACATTGAGGTGGTGGCTGTCTGCAAGCCAGGAAGAGCACCCTCACCATGGAAGCAAATGGACTGGCACCTTGATCTTGGACTTCCCAGTCTCAGGATTTTTTTTTATTTGATTTATTTCATTTTTAATGCTTTTTATTTTCTTTTTGGGAGAGAGTGTGAATTGGGTGAGGGGCAGAAAGAGAAGGAGACACAGAATCCGAAGCAGGCTCCAAGCTCCCAGCTGTCAGCACAGAGTCCGGAGTGGGGCTCAAACTCACAAACCACGAGATCCTGACCTGAGCCAGAGTCAGACACTTAACTGACTGAGCCACTCAGGAACCCCTAAGACTTTATTTTTAAGTAATCTCTATACCCAACAGGGGCGAGCCTTAGAACCCTGAGATCAGGAGTCACACATTCCACCAACTGACCCAGCCAGCCACCTCCCAGTCTCAAGATTTTGAGAAATAAATTCTTGTTGTTTAAGTCACCCGGTCTGGTATTTTGTCTTAGTCCAAGCAGACTAAGACACCTATATACCTTAGATATATAAATACAGTCCTGTCCCTAAAGGATTTATACTGTAATTGGGGAGCACAAAAGCTAGAGGACTCGTATCATTATACTGCTACTTTTATGATAAAATCAGTGCCATAGGGCAAAGATTTTCAAACTTAATTTTTAGAAGTAGAATTTGTTTCTCAAAGGATCTCTGACTTGGGAGCTCATTCATGTAAAAAGGATAAAAATGAAGTTGCTCACTTAAGGAGCAAGGCACTGTGAGTTAGAACAGTAACAGATCAAGGTGGCCTAGAATCATGAGCAGATGCTTGCAGACTACTGAGAGGACTTTAAGGATGATTGAGATGGCTTTTAGGTGGCTAAAGAGGTCTGGGGAGGAAATGCAGAAGAATGGCCCAACCTGAAGTCTGACAATGTGAGGCAATAGAAGTCAGAAGAAGACAGACTTGCCTGGAGTGGAGCATTAATGGCAGGGACTATTGGAGAATAAATCATGGGGGGACCATATATGTAGACTATAAGTGCCTTTAACTGCTTAATTCAATTTGGGTTTGATTTGATAGGTCCTTGTTTTTCCACTTTTGGGCATAACTCATGGTTGCTGAGAGTCTAAGTTAGATAAAGGGTTGAGAAAAAATTCACTCCAGGGCTGCCTGGGTGGCTCAGTCAGTTAAGCGTCCAACTTCAGCTCGGGCTCTGTGCTGACAGCTCAGAGCCTGGAGCCTGCTTCGGATTCTGTATCTTCCTCTCTGTTCCTCCCCTGCCCATGCTCTGTCTTTCTCTCTCTCAAAAATAAACATTTAAAAAGAAGAAGAAATTCACTCCGTAACATTTCCTTTAAAAAAAAAAAAGAAGAGGGGCACCTGGGTGGCTCAGTAGGTTAAGCGTCCAACTTCTGCTGAGATCATGATCTCACAGTTTGTGGGTCTGAGCCCTGCATCAGGCTCTGTGCTGACAGCTCAGTGCCTGGAGTCTGCTTCAAATCCTGTGTCTCCCTCTCTCTCTCTCTCCTGCTCTCAAAAATAAATAAACATTAAAAAAAATTAAAGGGGCACCTTGGTGGCTGAGTTAAGTGTCCGACTTTGGCTCAGGTCATGATTTCATGGTTCATGGGTTCAAGCCCCACATCAAACTATGTGCTGACAGCCAGCTCAGAGCCTGGAGCTTGAGGTTTCAGATTCTGTGTCTCCTTCTTTTTTTCTGCCCCTACACCGCTCACACTCTGTCTCTCAAAAATCAATAAATGCTTAAAAAATTTTTCTAATAAAAATTAAACAAGAGAGTGAGTTTGGAACTAGGAAACATACGGTCTTAGGAAGTCTACCCTCAGCCCTAGCAGACACTAGTGAGAGTATTTCTTAATCCCAAGAAGGCTCTGCACCGCCAGGACAGAGCTCGATGTGGGGCTTGAACCCACGAAACTGTGAGACCATGATCTGAGCAGAAACCAAGAGTCAGATGCTTAACTGACTGAGCCACCCAGGCGCCCCCAGTGAGAGTATTTCTGAAAGAAGATATGCTGGAGTCTCTAAGACTCGGCAGCTCCCATCATCTATTTCTTTCCTCATCTCCAGAGTAATGGAAGTGAGCTGGGTCCAGGCTGCCTTAGAGTTACAACTCTTTCCTGGGATCCAGGATAGGGGCACAGTAAGAAATGACTATGTCCATAATAAAGTGGTACCATTGGTTTCACTGAAAGAAGAATTCTGTACCCCATTTCCTACCGTGACCTTGGGTAAACCTATTTGTACTTCTGTTTTCTCGTCTGTAAAATAGAGATAGTAATTTCTACTGCATAGGGTTGTTTTGAGGGTAAAATGAGCTCCTGTATTAAAGTTCTGTGAAGGTCCTTGGCATATATTAAGTGTTTTATAAGGGACAACTATTTTAATTATTATGTTATTTTGTTATGAGTGTTTAGATGGATTGGAGAGCCAAGGTCATACAGACAGGCTAGAGTAGCATCCAATTTTACCAACTGAATCTGCTGTACCACTACCCCCACCCACATTAATGAGCAAAATATTTTAAAATAATACAGCTAACATTCATTTTGCGTAGTGATTCATTTAATCACCCATCCATTCCATAAGTATTTATTGAGCACCCACTATCAGCCAGGCACTGTTCTAGGCAATGAATAGAGCAGAGAACAAACAAAATCTCCTGCCTTCATAAAGGTTACTTTCATTATAAAGGGAAATAAATCATTTCTTTGTCTTTAGCTTTCTCCACATCTGCTTGATTGGATGCGTTACAGGTTTTCATTCTTACCATTTTTTTCAGTGTTATATCTACCAACTCTTTTATTCCTTCATCAGTCTCTTCTTCAGATGGCTGTTGGTGTAGACTGTTCTTCAACATGTCAAATATCTCTTCTCGAGAAATGTAACCATCACCATTCAAATAGTAAACTTCAAAACAGACTGTCCAAAGCACAAGAAATATAAGGACAGTTAAAATATCAGTAGTCTTCTCCTTAGTTATTTTAATGTATAATTTTTAAAAAGATAAAAACAATTTATTCAACCTACAATTACTGGTCTATATAACAGAGATATTTTAAAATAAAGCACCCTTTATTTACTTATTGGCACAAGATTAAATACTCCTTGGGATGTGGAATTTGAAGTTGAGAGTTTTAAAATGTTATGAAACCAGAAACTATGAAACTCTTAGAAGAAAACACAGGAACAAGGTCCTTGACATGGGTCTTGGTGATGATTTCATGGCTATGATACCAAAAGCACAAGCAACAAAATAAAAACAACACAAATGGGACCACATCAAACTAAAAAGCTTCTGCACAATTAAAAAAATCATCAAAATGAAAAGACAACCTGTGAAATGGGAAAAAATACTTACAAACCATATCAGATAAGGTGTTAATATCCACAATATATTAAGAACTCCTACAACTCACTAGCAAAAAAGAAAAAAAATAAAAATAGGCAAAGGACCTAAACAAACATTTCTCCAAGAAAAATAAATGAAAAGCCAACAGCTATAAGATGCTCAACATCACTAGTCCTTGGGGAAATGCAAATTAAAACCACAATGAGATATCACCTCATGCCTGTGAGAATGGCTATCATCAAAATAAACAAACAACAAACAAAACTCACCAAATACAAGGTACAAAATGTTGGGGTGGATGTGTAGAAAAGGGAACCCTTATTTACTGTTGGAAGGCTTATACATTGGTATAGCCACTATAGAACATAGTACGGAGGATTCTCAAAAAAATTAAAAATAGAACTACCATATAATCCAGCAATTCTATGTCTGGGAATATATCCAAAGGTAAAGAAAACACTAACTCAAAAAGATAATTGCACCTCCATGTTCATAGCATCATTATGTATAATAGTCAAGGTTTGGAAACAATCTAAGTTTCTACCAATGGATGAATAAATATAAATAAGAATAGTGCTCAGCCATAAAAAATGAAGAAATTCTATCATTTGCAATAACACTGATGAATCCTGAAGGCATCATGCTAATAATTAAGACAGGGAATGACAAACACTCTTTGACCTCCCTTATATGTGGAATCCCAAAAACAAAAACAAAACAAAACAAGAAACCAGACAATAACAACAAACTCATAGAAAAAGAGATCAGACTTGTGGTGACCAAAGGTAGACAGGTGAAGGGAGGGGGAACTAGAGGAAGATGGCTGGCTAAGAAGTACAAACTTCCAGTTATAAGATAAATATGTATAGGAAAGGAATGTAGCATGGTGACTATAACTAACACTGATGTACGATATATAGAAGAGAGTGAATTCTAAGAGTTCTCATCACAAGGAGAATTTTTTTTTCTTTTATATTTTTCTTCTTATTGTAGCTATATGAGAAGATGGATGTTAGCTGAATCTATTGTGGTAATCATTACCAGTATATGTAAATCAAATCGATCTGTATTTATAAACCTATAAAATGATGTATGTCAATTGTTCCTCAATAAAACTAAGAAAATAAAATAAATTTGTTCTTTGCTAACAAAGAATATTTTTCAGTATATCTGTGTAGTGAGTCCATCATCTCCTTGGGAGTTTGCCCATTTGTACTATCCAAAATGACCACTCTCTCCCTGGAGAGGGTCTTCTGGGACTTCTATCCATTCATTCATGCTGCAGATGACCTTACTCAGGTCCTGAGAATAGAATAGTGAAGGAGCTCTTCTGGAGTTTGCAATCTAGTTAAATATTTTAGCAAAAGCAATAGAACTGATATTAAATTTCAGAGTTAGCAGATCAGCTGTGTCTTTTTGTTGAGTTTCTTCAATCTATAGCATACATGTGATATGGGAAACAAAGGCAAATGAAAAAAACTATTAAATTTCCTGACAACTTGCAGCCCACTGACAAATCCTTGAGATAGGCAGAGTGACTTTCCTCCAGGAACTGAACTGCCTATATGTCAATACTTTGCTAGGGACAAAAGGCAATCTTATCTTATCATCAACCCAACCTCCAGGATCCCGTAGTCTTCTTTAATATATAAAAATTCCTTTGGTAAGTTCCTTTATCTCTACTCCCCAAAAGTTGTATGTTAGCAAATATCCTCCAAGTATATGGCCCACTGATAAACATCTGAAGGGTCTCGTGACTAAGGTTTTACTAGACAGTAGTAAATTACTTTTTCCCAATAATAACTAGCCCCTCAAGGGCCTGGAAATCTTGCTTCCAAATTCCTTAGGGATAGCCCCTCCCAACTTGAAAGTATATAATTAGTCACTGTTACAACCCCAGTGCAGCTCTTTCTGCACACAGGTCCTGTCCCCGTGCTTTAATAAAACCACCTTTTTGCACCAAAGGTGTCTCAAGAATTCTTGCTCAACTGTTCGCTCAGAACACCACCATTTCCTCATCACATGCAGCTCAACCCTATGAGGAGTATTTTCCCCAAATTAACATATCTTGAAATGTACAGGAAACATTTTTAGGAAGTGGGATTAGAGGAGGAAAATTCTTTGACAGTGTGATGCATTCAATCATGTACAGCTGCGTTCAGTGTCACAGGAATTATCCCCATGTATTAGTACTACCACAAGAACTTACATCTACGAAAACTTAGCTTTTCATTTCTGAGACTTTTGTATAGGAGTGCTGGAACAACCCTAAGTAGCAACTATATTTCAATGTTATCTTGTGAAAAATTAAACTGAAGTAAAAAAAAAAAAAAAACCCACATAATGTTGAATGTCAATTTCACCTCAATAAAAAAAAAGAAAAAATTAAGAAAAAAATGAAACAAAAACAAAAAATCATAAATGTCAGAGGAAGTTGGTGACCTTTTAAAACGTTGCTATCGGGGGCGCCTGGGTGGCTTAGTCGGTTAAGCGTCCGACTTTCGTTTGGGTCATGATCTCGCGGTTCGTGGGTTCGAGCCCTGCGTCGGGCTCTGTGCGGACTGCCAGCTCAGAGCCTGGAGCCTGTTTCAGAGTCTGTGATTCCCTCTCTCTCTGACCCTCCCCTGCTCATGCTGTCTCTCTCTCTCTCCTAGAAAAAAAAAAAAATTTAAAACGTTGCTATCATTTTTTAAAGTGTGTGTTTAAGGGGCACCTGGGTGGCTCAGTCGGTTGAATGTCCAACTTCGGCTCAGGTCATGATCACATGGTTTGTGGGTTGGAGCCCGCATCAGGCTCTGTGCTGACGGCTAGCTCAGAGCCTGAAGACTGCTTCAGATTCTGTGTCTCCCTCTCTCTCTAACCCTCCCCTGCTTGCACACGCTCTCTCTCAGAAATAAATAAACATTAAAAAAATAATAAAGTGGGTGTTTAAGAGGCGCCTGGGTTGCTCAGTCGGTTAAGCCTCTGACTTTGGTTCAGGTCATGATCTCAACGATTCGTGGGTTTGAGCACCATATTAGGCTCTGTGCTGACAGCTCGGTGCCTGGAGCCTGCTTCCGATTCTGTGTCTCCCTCTCTCGATCCTTCCCCTGCTTGCGCTCCGTCTCTCTCTCAAAAATAAATAAATATTTTAAAATGTTAAAAATAAATAAATAAAATGTGTGTGTAACTTTAGGGATCTTCTTTTCAACATCTCAAATACAAATTTAAGTGCAAAGACAGGGGTAAAAATTTGTTTACTTACTCAGAACTCTGCAGTGTTTTCATAAGCAATTTCACACTTTAAGCAACTGTTCCCTAGAAAACTGCCATTTAAAATTGTTCCTATTCTTGGGGCGCCTGGATAGCTCAGCTGGTTGAGTATCCAACTTTTGGTTTCGGCCAGAGTCATGATCTTATGGTTTGTGTGTTCAGGGCTCTGTGCTGACAGTGCAGAGCCTGCTTGGGTTTCTCTCTCTCCCTTTCTCTCTGCTCCTCCAGCTTGCTCTCTCTCTCTCTCTCAAAAGAAATAAACTTAAAAAAATTTGTTCCTATTCTCTTTTCAAAGTTCCTCACCCCAACACCTGGCCCCAGAGGCTTAAAACAAGAAAATACACATCACAACAATGGTACAGGTGAGGTGAGGCCAGAGCTATTCGTTTCTAGGCAAAACTGTGAATGGGAAGATTTTTATCATTGGAATTACTAACATACCTTTCCTGTAGGAAACTCCCTCTATAACCCTTCTCCCTGTGGGTATTCTTTGTCTTCAACCTTTTTTTCCTCATTTCACTGATATACACAAATTCTAACACTAGAGTACTGATGTCTGGTGGTTAATGTGTGTTTTATCTCGTTTTGTGTCAATCCTTCACATTCATTTTCTTTGATTAAGAAACGAGGAAAGGCTTCACTGTGACTTATGCACTGCCTGATATCAAGGCACATTTCCCGCTGAGCCCAGAGGCAGCCTGGCAAACCCAGAGTTGGTACAAACACTGACACTGACTTGCTGGTCTTTGCCTGGGTTTGACCCAAAGACCCATCCTCGTGACATTTAGGTATTACAGAACCAGTTAAGGAAGTGTTTGGGGACTCTAGGTCTAAAGGAGGGACTCTCCCAAGAAACAGACCACCCATTTCATCTGTTTTGATTTTTTTTAAGCTGTCATAAACTATGTTTATATTTTTATTTTTAAATGTTTTATTTATTTCTGGGAGAGAGAGAGAGAGAGACAGCATGAGCAGGGGAAGGTCAGAGAGAGAGGGAGACACAGAATCAGAAGCAGGCTCCAGGCTCTGAGCTAGCTGTTAGCACAGAGCCCGACACGGGGCTCAAACCCACAAACTGTGAGATCATGACCTGAGCCGAAGTCAGACACTTAACCGACTGAGCCGCCCAGGAGCCCCTATAGCAACCTTTTAAAAATAGTTCATGACAGGGGTGCCTGGGTGGCTCAGTCAGTTGAGCGTCTGACTTCGGCTCAGGTCATGATCTCACAGTTTGTGGGTTTGAGCTCAGAGCCTGGAGCCTGCTTCTGATTCTGTGTCTCCCTCTCTCTGACCCTCCTCTGCTCACACTCTCTGTCTGTCTATCTCTCTCTCTCTCTAAGAAATAAATAAAACATTTAAAAAAATAATAAGGTTGGTATAGAACATTTTATATTTTTAAAAACTGTTTAAGCATTCACTAAATACAAAACTGACACTATTACTAAGTCAGGAATCACATATAGAAATCTTACACTTCAGCTTTTCTTCAAAAGTCCCTCGAAGAAACACTGATAATCCTTTAACCCACTCTTTCACATTTATGCAGTTATCATGGTCTTTGTCAAATGCAAAAAATACTGAAAGAAAAAAGACCACAGAAGTGTATTGTAATTTACAGCTATTTTATAATTCAAAAGTATGTATATATGAAAGGATTTTAAAAACCTTCCTCCCAAATTGAGGAGGAAGAAAGGTTTTGTCAGTCTTTAAAGGTCAAAATTACTGGAAATGTTTTCCCCAGATTTTTGTAGAAGGAAAAGAGTAATTCTCCTCTATGATCAATGATGACTCTCACTTGTGATATCCTGTACAGTTACTATGAGCCAAGAAGATCAACAGTGGAACTAATGAAGGTGATAATATATATTCTAAAAAGAGTGCAAAGGGGGAGCCTGGTTGGCTCAGTAGGTAGAGCATGTGACCCTTGATCTTGGGGTTGTAAATTCAGACCCCACATTGGGTGTAGAGATTACTTAAAAAAAATAATAAAATAAGTAAAATGCATTTTTTAAAAAGTGGCAAAATTCTGTTCTAAAGAGTCTGTATAGGGATGCCTGGGTGGCTCAGTTGGTTAAGTGTCCCATTCTTGGTCTTGGCTCAGGTCATGATCTTATGGTTTGTGAGTTCAAGCCCCACATTGTGCTTGGCATGGAGCCTGCTTGGGATTCTCAGTCTCTCCCTCTTTCTCTCTGCCCCTCCCTTGCTGTGTGTGCAAACTCTTTCTCCTCTCTCTCAAAATAAACAAACTTAAAAATAGTATTATTGACTCTTTTAGGGATGATGTCAATTATCAATATCATTTCAAGATATATACCTTGAAAAGTCAAAACTTTTCAAATTGAACCCTAAAAATGTGTTAGAGAAACTGGATCACATTAAATAATTTATTTTAAATATAAGATCTTGTCATTTAATTTTTTCAGTATAATGAGTAATTATCATTTTTTGTACCTATACAGTCTTTATTTTTATGAGGAAAAAGAAGTCATTTAATAATTCACATGTCTACAGCATATGAATCCAAAGATATCATGATTTAAAATCCACAACAATACTGCTAGCTTATTTAGTTTATTACTGGTTAGTTCTCAAAGTGGTACAGCTATGGGATATTAAACTTTGAGTGAGTTTTTATTAAAAGTCATCCTCACAATCAAATCACCTCTGTTTTATACTGCCAGCCTTACAAAAATTATGTCTTTCTAGCTGGGCATTAAAAAATTCAAAGACTTTGATGATAATTATATATATCTGTACAAAAATATTTTTGCCACATATTAATACAGACACCATATATATATTGCCACTTCAGCTTGGCCCATTTCCATTCTTAAGGCTCTTACCCCTGTTCATTAGCATATCGTCAGTCATTCCAAATACGCTGTGCAGGATCGCTCGAAATGCATTACGATCTAGTCCAAGGTTATTAAGTCTTACATTAGCTCTTTCCACCAAGCTGTGAAAAAGTCTTATGAGACACTCTACTTCAATTTTTTTGACTGCAAAATGAAAATACAAATAAAAACTTAAGACTTACTGAGTACTCTAATCCTATTAAAACTTTTTTACTAAGCAGCTATTTTGTTCCTATGATGCTAGATGCTCTAGTGATTAAAAAAAGAATGACATGACTTGCTACTTAAGGGCTTACGCAATTAAGGTAGATGTCAACAGGAGTCTCATAAGACAGTATGTAAATGAAAAATTATGTAATATAATGTTCATCACTACAGACATGTGAAGAAAGAGAAATGAGTGTGGGAAAGAGGAGTTGGGCCATTTTCATGGGAGTAGACTTTGAACAGAGACTTGAAGAATGCATTGCATTTATACAGGAAGGAATGTTTTGGGAGTGGTAAAATGGAGAATTCCAGGGAGAGAGAACATGGGTAAAGGAAAGAGGTAGCATTGCGTTTGAAGTTGATCATGCTTTATTGGGAACACAGCAAGTTAGGAAGAAGTGAAAAAACAAGATTGAAGAGGATGGATTGATGGCAAAGGGCCTTGAATGCCTAGTCAGAAAATTAACATTTACATTGACTTTTGAACCACATAGGTTTGAACTGTGGGTCCACTTAATGCAATTTTAAAAATCTAGTGCAGTACTGTATATGTATTTTTTTTACCATTAAAAGTATTTTTTAGCTTACTTTATTTAAGACCACAGTATGTAATATATAAAACATACAAAATATGCCATTGCCTATGTTATCAGTAACGTCAGCAGTAGGCTATTGGTAGGTAAGCTTTTGGGGAGTCAAAAGTTATATATGAATTTTCAACTGTGTTGTAGGGGGTACACGTTGTTCAAGGGTCAACTACATTTACCAGAGCAGTGCTTCTAATGGACCATCTCTGAACCATCTGAATGAGAGAATCCACAGCCTCTCCTCTGTTTGTTTGATGGAGATTCCCAAGCCTTGCCCGACCTACCAAGTCAGAATCACTAATATCAGGCCCAGGAATTAGCTTTTAAAAAACAAGACCTCAGTTGACTCTTCTAGGCCCTAAACGGTAAAAAAAGTGGGAGGAAGCTGAGATATTGCAGAAAATCAGTAGGACATGGTGACTAACTTTCAAATAGCAATGTTCAGTATTCACACACTTTGATTTCAGTCCAGACTTAGGAAAGGGTATTTTTAAAGAAGAGCAGGGGTGATTCTAATGCATTGATCAGGACTGAGAATTAAGGGTTTAGATTTACTGGGCTGCAGGTACTAAAGAGCCTGGATCCCACTTCTTACCTAAATAGCAGACTTAGACAAGTCAGATAGCTTCTTTTATGCCTCAGAGTCCTCACCTATGAAAACTGGGTATTGTCCTAGATGATCTCTGAGATTCCTTCAGTTTCTGTAGTCCAATTCTATCAATCAAAGATTATTTGAAAGAACCAGAAGAGCTAGAAAGGAAAGCTGGTTACCATTTTTTTTTTCTCTTCCATTTCTTTGCTTCCCTTTTTTCTTTTCATAGGGAAGGTAGGGAGAAATATTTAGATGCTGGCTTTGAGATGATTTCAAGTCACCCAACTGAAATCAATGACAACACATAGCAAATATGCAGTGTACATTAAGGGTTCTACTTTGGTCAGAATGACTTGATTCTTATGGTAATGGTTGATAAATCTAAAGAACAAGCAATTACAAGGTACCTAATAATACTGTTTTATGAACTGGATTAGATTTTCGGGCTACACAGTCTAACTATAATCCCTGAAATATGGCATAAAGCTCATTTTACCCATCCAATAAGAATTTATTAAGGGCCTCCTGTCAACCAGTCAGTGAATGCATAATGGTTCCTTGCCCACAAAGTTGTTACACTTTGGCTAAGAGATTAAAAAAAAAAAAAAAAAAAAAGCACAAGCACTATGATGGATGGGATGGTGTTTGGTGGTGACCCAAAGGAAAGAATAATCAACTGGGGGAGGTCACAGGAAGTTAAGAAAGATCCCAAGGAGGAGGGGTCACTTGAGCCTGCCAAAGGTAAGCATTTGCCAGAAGAGGCAGCTTCAAAGTATGTTCTGAGAGCTAGCGCCTGATGGTTGGTGTGGCGAGGTGGCAGACTTGACTTTACAATGGGAAGTTTCTGAAAAAATTTGGCTGGCAAGTTAACAGGATATTTGCACTTAAGGAGGATCACTTTGGCAGTAGATTTTTGAAACTACCTTATGAATGAGTCCAGATGTGACAAGGTTGTGTCTTCCCCAAAACAATTTTATAGTCTGTCCCATCCCATATACTCTTCCTATAATGACTTTGATACTCCTCTGAGAGATGGGATCTGTCTCCTTCACTTGAAACTAGGAGGGCATTTTGTGACTTTCAACCAGTAGAGTTCAGTGGAAATGAGGAAGTGCAACTTTTCTTTTTTTTTTTTTTAATGTTTTATTTATTTCTAGGAGAGAGAGAGACAGCGTGAGCAGGGGAGGGTCAGAGAGAGAGGGAGTCACAGACTGAAACAGGCTGCAGGTTCTGAGCTGGCAGTCAGCACAGAGCCCGACGCGGGGCTTGAACCCACGAACCGCGAGATCATGACCTAAGCGAAAGTCAGATGCTTAACCGACTAAGCCACCCAGGCGCCCCGAGGAAGAGTAACTTTTCAAGGCTAGGTCACAGAACGGGTTGCAGCTGCTCTGAGGACAAAAACATGGAAAGCATTTTTTTCTCTTATAAAATACAGAGAAAAAGTAGGCTCAGGTGACAAATGAAGTGCAGAGTATGTTAATGCTTGCCTGAAAGTAGTCCTGCTTAATGAACTCTGATGGAGAATTAACATCTGAGTGCAAACATTAGCACCAACAGTTTCCTCTTGAGGAAAGGGAGGTTTTAAGAGTCAAGTATTAACAAGTTACTCAACACAGCTATCAAGGATTTTAGTTTTCTCTGAGCTTTATCCATGTAAGCTCACATTTCATTATAGCTAAAGACCTTACTCGCGTTTTCAAGGATCTATATTTGAGAGATCTTGGGTAGTGAGAATTGTGAGGTGCTAGAGATTGGCCCATGTTATTTAACTTAATTTGGGATAATTTTAGATTTACCTAAGAAAAACAATGATGATAGAGTTTCCATGCAATTTCCATTGTTTCTGTTAAAACTTTACAGAACTGTAGTACAACTGTCAAAATGAATACACTAACGGCACATTATTAACTAAACTACAGATTTTACCACTTTTTCCATTAATGCTCTTTTTTGGGTTCCAGAATCCAAGCCAGGATATATTTTGTTGTCATGTCTCCTCCAACCTGTGATAGTTTTCAGTCTTTCATGACTTTTTTTTTTTAAGTTTTAATTTATTTTGAGAGGCCGTGAGCAGGGAAGGAGCAGAGAGAGAATCCCAAGCAGCATGGAGCTGACAAGGGGCTCAATCCCACAAACCATGAGATCATGACTTGAGTTGACATCAAGAGTTGAGCCACCCAGGGGGGTCCAACCTTGAGTTCTCATTTTAAATAATATTCCTCAATTTGGGTTTGTCTAATGTGTTTTGCAAAATATATTGTGGTTAGGGGTTTTGGGGAAGCATTCTAGAGATAAATCGCTGTTCTCACATGTCAGGGGGATACATATTATACAAGGTTAACTGCTGAAAAGTTTGATCACTTGATTAAGCTATTCTACAAGGTTCTCAATCATAGTTGCTATTTTTCCTTTCCACAATCTATTCTTTGGAAGCCAATCTCTCAGGGAAAATGCAATTCCATTCCTTGGGAAGGAGTATCTGTACTATTATTTGGAATTTTCCTGAAAGGAAGAGGTCTTCCCCCCATTTATTTACTCAATTATTTATGTAAGGGGGATTTTATAACAATTCCTGTTATTACCTTACTCAAATTGTTCCAGTTTTGACCATTGGGAGCTTTCAAGTTGGGCTCTTCTGTTTCACATCACACAACCTATTGGCTTTTTCACTTCTTTGCTTTTTTGCACTACTTGCCAGGCCAATCTAGTATTTTCCTTGAGTGAGGTAACAGGGAATATATATACTGGTTCCAGTTACATAGCTCCCAAAACGCTTGGGATTTCCTAAATGATGTGAGCAGTAGGAGTATCTTTTGTTCAATTTAATCATTGACCCTGGTCCCCTAAAATCCCTTAGAACATCAGGAGAGATAGGAATCTTTTGTTCTAAGGAGGTGACTACTGGTGGCTCCTGGATGGGAACCAGTCACCAGAAAGACCAAACCATGATTAAAAGCTTGGAACTTTCAGCTATTCTGCAGAGGGGCTAGATACTGAGTTAATGACCTATGATGAGTATGTCATGAAACCTCCATGAAGATCCCCAAAGTGTTCAGGGAGCTTCTGGGATGGTGAACACATGAAGGTCCTGGGAGAGAGAATCGAAGCTCCATGACCCTTCCCACATCTCCTCCATCTGTCTGTTCCTGATTATACCCTTGTATTTTAAAAATCACATCTTTTTATAATAAATCAGTAATCTATTAAGTAAACAGTTTTCCTCAGTTCTATGAGCTGCTCTAACAAATTAATTGGGCCTCCAATTTATAGCCAGTTAGTCAGAAAGGCAGTTAACAACCTGGACTTGTTCTGGGCATCTGAAGTGGGAGACAGTTCTGTGGAACTGAACTCAACCTGTGGGACCTGATGCCATCTCAGGTAGCAACAGAATTGAGAAATTGTAGGACAACTGGTTGATGTCACAGAAAATTCCTTAACTTGAAAAAAACCACACAGTTGGAGACTAGAAGTTGGAGACTAGAAGTGTCAAGAAGTATAAATGAGTAGTAGTGTTAGAGTGAAAGAGAAACACACAGATATAGCATAGGTTTTCCTTTACACTCTGCGCGGCTATTTCTTCAAGGAATCCTGGATCTTTTTATTGGAGACTGGTATTTAGACACCAAGGTTTAGGCACTGGGTGTGCTTGTTACTACTGGGAGATTAGTATTTCTAAGTCCAATACATAACCGGGGGCTGGGATGGGTACAGTGGAATATTTCTAAGCCCTCTTAGCAGACAAAGCTGGAAAATATGTATGTATACTTACCTATATATGTATACATATTGGTCCATGTAATGTGTGACAAATAACGGGAAAGCCAAATACTGGACCACTGACTCTATAGGTGGTCCTGGGCTAAGTCCCAGAAGAGATGATTAATTGTATTAAAAAATTCAAGAACACTCAGGGACTCATGAATTCATAAGGGGAAATCATACTAGAATGAACACATTTCCACCTTCTGGTAGGAGTGGATCAGAGAATCCAGTTCACAAAGTATTTGGATTTTAGGGGTGCCTGGGTGGCTCAGTTGGTTAAGCACCTGACTCTTGTTTTCAGCTTAGGTCATAATCTCAAGGTATGTGAGATCATGCCTTGTGTTGGGCTCTGTGCAGAGCCTGCTTGGGATTCTTTCTAAACAAACAAACATTTTTTAAAAAAGACAAAATATTTGGATTTTAGGAAGGCATATAACAAAAACCTTATTCTTATGCGAATTATCTTTTCAGTACCCAGTAGTGCCAAGCACAATGGTAGGCTCTCAAATAAATGTTTGCTAAGTAAATTATAACAACTCTTTGCAAACCAGTGAGGTAAAGGAATATACTGGATGAGACAGAATCCAAAGTAAGCTCTAGATGCCAAAATAATAACTTGAGTCAAACAAAATGAAATTATTAGGAAGTTTTAAAATTCTTCACTGAGCTTTAAAAAAGTTTCTTCATCTATGTAAGTGTAAAAATTTTGGTTATACAACAATATGTGTGAAAAAGACTGGGTCAATTGCTAACTCAGAATCAATCAGGCTGAGATTGCAATTAGTCTGATAGAATTACAATTTCACCTGGGAAAGACTAGGAATTCATCAGGAAACCCTAAACTTGAGTGTTTCTAAGAATACATGGAGTGAGCAATCTGGATGATTGGCTCTACTTACAGGGATATGTAAATGTCCCTAGGGTGGTATCCAGGAATCGACATTTTCAGGAAGAATCTTCAGGTGATTCTGATGCTGGAGATACTCCTACCATACTATGAATAAGCCAAGATCAACTACAGAACTTTTGGGCCCAATGAAAAGAAAACATGGGCCCGTCATTCAAAACATTAATTTTAAGTCAGTGTTAGTGGAGCATTAAACTAAGTTTGGGGCCCTGTGACAATGCATAGGTTGTACACACATGAAGCCATTTATTATGCCCGAAGTTAATGATCTGCCACTGCCACTAAAGATTTTAAAAATTCTACTTAATTTACACTTAAATAGCCACACGTATACTTTATAAAAATTGGGGTGCCTGGCTGGCTCAGTCAGCTGAGAATGGAACAACTCTTCACCTCAGGGTCAGGAGTTCAAGTCCCACCTTTGGTGTAGAGATTACTTAAAAAGATTTTAAGTAAATAAAGAGCTACACATCGCTAGGGGTTACTATACTGGTTAATGCAGCTCTACAACGTTTTATAGTCTAGAGCTGTGTAAAAGAAAAAAAAAATCAACAAATACCTGCTTTGTGAGGTAACTGAAAGTAGCAGAGGATCAGGGTCATGCAATCTAGCTGGGACTTCAAGAGGCCATGTGGCACATGAGGGCCTAGTAAATTATGAAGGTTCCCTCCTAAGAAACTTTAATGTTTTGTTTTGTTTTTTTTTTTTTATTTCTAGGAGAGAGAGAGAGAGAGACAGCGTGAGCAGGGGAGGCAGAGAGAGAGGGAGTCACAGACTTTGAAACAGGCTCCAGGCTCTGAGCTGGCAGTCAGCACAGAGCCCGACGCGGGGCTCGAACCCACGAACCGCGAGATCATGACCTAAGCGAAAGTCGGACGCTTAACCGACTAAGCCACCCAGGCGCCCCCCCTCCTAAGAAACTTTAAAGCGAAGCCCAAGAAAAGCCATCTCAACTTTCTGGCACATGGGACAACTAGAACTTTGTGCACCAAGACAAATAGTAACATGGTCCCTTCTTTTTTCTTTTTTCAAAGTAAACTCTACTCCCAGCATGGAGCTCAAACTCATGACCCTGAGATCAAGAGTCATATGTTCCACCAACTAAGCCACCCACCTCTCCCTTCTTGAGAAGGGAAGGCTAAGGTGGTGCTAGATGTTAGCCCTCCCCACTGCTATCCATAGAGAACCAAGTTCTAGGTGCACCCAGCTGGCTTAGTCAGCAGGACATGTAACTCTTGATCTCGGGGTTGTGAGTTCAAGCCCCAGGTTGGGAGTACAGATTAAAAATAAAATCTCAAAACAACAAAAAAACCAAAATTCCAGTCACAAGAGGCCAGTGTCTATCCTGGTCTCAAATGAAGGACTCAAGAACTGAGCTGAATTCAACAATTTTTATTTTGCATTCACTATGGGACAGTACCATACAGAATGACCATGAGAGTCTAGAATGTTTGTTATTTGCACTGAGAAATGAAGATGGAGTGTAGGCAATGGCATCAGATTTACCTGGGTTCTAGCTCTGCCTCTACCAGAAAAGTTCAGTGTAATTTTAGACAATCTAAGACTTGGTTTCTTTCCTCTTCTGAAAATGTGGAAAATTTTACCTACCTCACTGGTTTTTTTCTGAGACTTGAAGATGAACATAAATCATTTAGCACAGCTTCTCCCCAATGAAGAGTTTAATAAATATGAGTTGTGAATAATCTGAATATACAATAGTAATCTGGTTACACTGAACTTTTGATCATAATTTAGCATCAAAGTTGCAAAAGGAATGCAACTCATTCCTCTTTTGAAGTAATTGCTGAGTATCTTTTTTTTTTTTTTAATGTTTTATTTATTTCTGAGAGAGAGAGAAAGACCGTGTGAGCAGGGGAGGGTCAGAGAGAGAGGCAGACACAGAATCTGAAACAGGCTCCAGGCTCTGAGGTGGCTGTTAGCACAGAGCCTGACACAGGGCTCGAACCCACGAACCGTGAGATCATGACCTGAGCCGAAGTCAGATGCTCAACCGACTGAGCCACCTAGGCGCCCCTGTTCAGTATCTTTTTTGTAGGAAGACTGTATGGGAAGTGGGCCTGATCTAGTATTACATATTCCTTACTTACATTACCTATATTACCTATACTTTCAGAGAATTGTTTTCTAACAAATAGTATTAAACACACATTTGGGTAGCACACTAAAAGTAGTTTCATTTGGATCGGGAAAGGAGTTAGATTTTTAAAGTATGCAAATTTCCTTTTGAATGTTCTAATACTCAGGTTCTGTTAAGAAAACAGCAAATAGGGGCATCTGAGTGGCTCAGTCGGTTACGCATCCAACTCTAGGTTTTGGCTCAGGTCATGAGGTCACAGCTTCATGGGTTCAAGCTCCACATTAGGCTCTGTGCTGGCAGCACAGGGCCTGCTTGAGATTCCCTCTCCTCTCTCTTTACTTCTCCCTCATTCGTGCTCTCAAAATATATAAACAAACTTAAAATTAAAAATAGGGGCACCTGGGTGGCTCAGTTGGTTAAGTGTCCAACTTCAGCTCAGGCCATGATCTCACAGTTCATGGGTTTGAGCCCCACATCAAGCTCTATGCTGACAGCTCAGAGCCTGGAGCCTGCTTCGGATTCTGTGTCTCCCTCTCTGTCCCTCCCCTGCTCACACTCTCTCTTTCAAATATAAATATTAAAAAATATTAAAAAAGAAATTACAAATAAACAACCATTCTCTCTAAGCAAAACAGAGAGAGAGAGAGAGAGAGGGAGAGAACAACAAAAAAAACAGCAAATAACAACAGATATTACATTCAAGATTGGTTAAATCTGCCTGATGGATTTTAAGGGTTGAAGGACAGCAGGATTGCAAAAACAAACCCTAGAAGTACTTGAGGATCATTTAAAATCCAACTGGAATAAGAGAAAACTTAAGTCTACCAACGAGATTCTTAGGGAGGTACTGATCCTACTGAGGACACACACAGAAAAATGGAAGTGCCCAACAATGTGGTTATACTAATGTCTGAAATAAAGAGTCATTTCCTCAAAGTCTAGAGACACTGTCAGAATGGATCTCAGGACTGCTTTGTTGTCATGCCTACCGAGACAAGATACGTAAGTTTATTTTTTAAGGTCTGTGAGGACAAGGATTCTCCCCCAAATCTGTTACATTAATTTTAATAAACACTTGCTATATGCAAAGTACCATGCTGTTTCTTCAACATCTAAAATATCTTCTTATAGCTCTATCAATCCCCTGCCTCTATGGGTTTTGTGCTAGAGAACTCAACTCAGGGGATTGGTCAGGTAAACCTCAGAGTTCGAAATCTCTTATTAAATCTCAGACTGTTAACAGAGTCAGTCCTTGGTTGGCAGATAATCCTTCAGTATATATGTCATATAAATTCCCAAATTATTCTTTCCACATACACAAATATATTTTAGGACACCTGATTAAAATTTTTTCAGTGTAGTACAGGGATCTTGTAAATTCACTCATGATCTATTTTTTTAAATGGCTAAAACACTGGACAGAAATTAGAGGAACTCTATTTTGGGTGTTATAAAGAACTCGTTAATGTCCAAGATATCTATCAATGTTTCCACTTGATTGAATAAAGATGTTCAGGCAGTGTTGGATATCTGGTTAGTACTTACAGTTTTTGACAGCATTACTGATGGAGTCCACCAGTTTCTTCAGAGTCTTCTGGTCCATGTCAAGTGTGGCTTCAACACACTGTAGAATTCTCAGGTAGCCTGGGTCCAAGCCTACCTGTCTTGGGTTGTCACTGATTCCACAGTTCATTACTCTATACCCAACAGAATGTGATCATGGCAACATTCCAGCAACCGCAGAAGGTTCTCAGGTGATTGGAAAAATATGCAACTACGGTTATTATTACCCAATACAAATGCAGTGATTCCATGAAAGTTACTGTCATCTGAAATATTACAGTAATTCCTTATCTTTTTTTTAGGGCTAAGCACCACTTAGGAGTGGTACTTGATATTCTTGTCATTTACACGTCCTCGGCACAAACTATAGTTGAAAATGTTTCCTTCCTGTCTGAACACATAATAACTAAATAAAATTATAAAGACCTTAGTCTTAAGTGGAAATATTTTTCCAGGCTATAAATAGCTCCTTCAAAGATTATATAACCTCCTTTAAAAACTCTAAGCACCTTCTCATGAGAAGGGACTTCAATCTGGGAGCTCCTAGAAAAATGTCAAACCGCACTAGTACCCCTCCAACTTCTGTATCTGACTGACTGGTAAGAAAGCCTGGTATAACTCTGCCAAAGCTGGCCAAAAGGGCAACTGTTCTAACTCTACTGTCAAATCCTAATACAGAGAACAAACATTTCCTAGTCTGTGTGCCAGCTTTCACTACAGGAAGGCAAGAAAATGTACTAAAATGATTTTGAGAATTTAGGACACAATATTCTTACAAATTGTAAATAAAATATAAAAATAAATTTTAAAATAAGGCAAATATAGGGCACCTGGCTGGCTCGATTGGAGAAGCGTGCAACTATTGGTCTTGGGGTCATGAGTTGGAGTACTATGTTGGGTATAGAGATTACAAAAAAAAAAATTTAATTAAAAAAATTTTGTAAGGAAATAAAATAAGGCAAATACAACTGGAACAAAAAAGCTTTCCCAAAACTTTTCTTTAGGAAACACTAGATGAGCATTCATTGAATTAATGAATGAATTAATGAAAACTGGTAATATTTTAAAAGTGTGAAGCCTGTCACTTAAGTCTGAAGAGTAACTGTTCTCAGTTTCTCTGAGGCTAGTCTATTATTTTCTATGAAATGAAAGAAAATTAGGCAATAGGTTTTTAGCACACCTTGACTGGAGGAATATGAACCTACACTCTGGATAAAGTCAAAGCCAATTCAGGACACTCTTATGGTATTTAAAACACCTAAGTATACTAAGGGCAACCAAATGAATCCAGAACAACTAGACTGAGAAAGTACTGAGAAAAATTCAATTTTTTGATTCAGACACTCATCAATTTTGTTGCAGTCACCTTGGCATCATTATCCAAATAACATGCCCTGTGTTTATAAAATTGGTATAAAATTATTGAAGAAAAAGGGTGGTTTGGTAGAAGAAAGCAGATATGTCAGTGACTTACATGTAACATTACCCTATCAAATTTTCTTCCCATACCTTATTAGAAAGAAGACTATCAAGGCTACCATCACAGAAGCAATCAAAAAGGTGTTTCCCAGACAGTCAACACAGTCTGGAAAGAATAGTTTTGTTTTTTTTTTGCCAGGTCACTTCTTCCTCAGTCTAATAACAGTTGCTTCTAATTCGATAATATTCTGGACCAGTGTGTTCATGACCAAAATTGATCACCAAATAACCTAATGAATTTATCTTTTAGTATTTTCTTGAACAATTCTAAGAAACTTCCTTTCAGATTAAAAGAAAAATGTCCCTCAAAACTTACTGTGTACTCAAGAGCATAAGGATATCTTTTAATTTTTTATTTATCTGCGAGAGAGAGAGAGAAAGAGATGGAAGGCAAAGAGAGAAGGGAGAGAGAGAATACTAAGCAGGCTCTGTCTGCACTGTCAGCACAGAGCCTGACACGGGTCTCCATCTCACAACTTCGAGATTATGACCTGAGCCGAAGTCAAGAGGTGGGATTCTTAACCGACTGAGCCACCCAGGTGACCCTATGTATCTTTTATTAGGAAAGAGTATGAAGCTTTAAGCATAAAATTTAAGGAAGTTTACCAAGAAATAAGATTATTTTTACAGCTAAAAACTTAGGGACCTGTCTTATCCACCTACCATTGAACACCTAGTAGTATTTCTTCATCTTTATAACTTTACTTGCAACTCAAAGGGAGCTGGTAAGAACAGAGCTATTTTTAAGTAAAATAGCTATTTATTCAGCCTCTTGTCATGCCAAAATGTTTTGTGCATATACCACTATAATTAGCACACCTTCTGTAACAGGCAAAATTGTACATCAAATTATATTTCATGTTACCTGATTATATAAAAATGTAAAGTGAAAATGATTTATCAATTCCTTTTAACATTACTAGTAAACAATTCAGCAGTAGATATGAGGCACAAAATCTTAGTAGAATATGACACAGGAAGATGTAATTCTTATGTAATTCTCACTTAACTTGTCATAATTTGTTATGAATATACAAAGACAAATTTCTAAAATGTTATATTTACTAAGATTCTGGCAATAGCTTTATGTAACAAGACACAGCATACCAGGCCTGCCACTCAACTTGTTTATGGTAAGTCTCAGCTTCAATATGAAGCTGTTTAAAAAAAAAAAAAAAAAAAATCAAAAGCCTACTTTTTTTTTTTTTTACACATGCTAAGTATCTTGGCAAGTATTCCATTAAACACAGTATGGAATTTAAGATAGCAAGAATAAGGAGTTAATAAAAGCTAAACACTGCAGCCTAAACAAAATTCATACAAAAATAAAATAACTATAACTGGTTACATAAAATTTTCCTGACTGGTTAAAACTAACAGTATAAAACATGCATTTTTGAATCTTTAGCTATCAAGTTCAAAAAGTACCAGTGTCTATTTGAAATGATTCCTCTCCAAAGCCAAAGTGTAGTCAAAATTAATTCAAATGTTATAACATATTCTAATGCTAAAAAACATTCAGTATTATTGAAGTGGAGGTAAATCCCAGAGCTTTTGGGACTTTGTCGTGCTGCAAAGGACTGTTACTCTGGTTCACTTAAAGCAGCAAATGACAAGAGTCCAAGGATGTCTAAGGGAAAGGCAAGACTGCTGTACCCAGCTCTGACCTCCCATGAAGCATGGCTACTGTGTCCACAAAAATAGGATGTGTGAAGATAAAAGGCACGCTATTCTGCTAGCTAAAGAGATAGCAAACCACCCACCTCCCCAGACCCTAAAAGCTCCTTCCCCAGGTAAATAGAAGTATATAAGGGGGAAAAATTAAAATACACTTATCTACAGAATAAGGATTCTGAAATATCAATGTAATCCCTATTTCAAAAATGTTAACTAGAGTCTTCTGGTCATTTCTAATTACATCTTAATGATATATCCAGATTCAATTTCTGTTGATTTATCATTAGATACTTCTGGTCAAAAATATTAACTTTATCCCCAAATATCTCAACCACTAGCACAACTGCAATGTATTATCTCCCAGCGTTGTTAAGCACTGGAAGAGAAAAACTAGATGTTCAAGCAGCAGGCAACAATGATGGCCCTTTCACACAGAGGCATCCGAGTGGCTACTGAATAGTCCAGGAATAATTCTAAAAACAAGAAAACTCATGCATTTTAGTAATTATGTCATAATTTTCACAGTTGAAATTTCCTTAAACATTGCACTTTCTTTATAAAGGAATCCTGATTTTTCTTAATGTTATGGTGAGTCGGGGCTTGAACTAGCAGCCTTCTTTTTCTTCTTCTTACTGTGTTTCTTATGCTTCTTTTTCTTTTTTGTTTTTTCCTGTAAAGAGAGTTCTCTGTTAGACATTTCTATAGGAAAATATGCAAGTCAAAAACCACTTTACCATGCTACTTCTAAGCTATTACATAATTAATTCAAACAATACACAAAACCAAGTAAACTATTCAGAACATTTTTGGAAAAGTCTAAATAATTATCATATGAGGATATATGAGTGTCTGCTGACTTTCAAAAAGATATGGAAAAACTCTTAAGTCATTAGCACATTAATGCAGCTTCCAAATGATATTTTCTACAGAAAAAAAAACTATGAATAATCATTATCAACTGCTGTATCTCATAATGTATCATTTCTAAAGGTGAAGTAATTGTAGTTACTGCAAAGAAGTCCTCACATCACAGCAAAACACAACTGTCTTTGTAAAATGACAGTTTTTGGAGAATACATATATTAAATCTGGTAATTTTTGGGTAAACAGGAACACAAATTATTATGTCCTGCCTAAACTGGTAACTGTTGCAGTTATTAGATTAACAACAACTAACTGGTACAAAATACTGATGTACAGCTGAAAAGTCTACTTAGCTTAGTAATAAAACAGATGCTTTCATTTTTTATAAACTTTTATTTAAGTTCCATGCCATACATGGGGCTTAAACTCACAACCCCAAGATCGATCAAGAGTCACACGCTGTACCTGCTGAACCAGCCACACATTCAGATGCTTGCTTTTTAGAGAAAAATGCCACTAAAGCCTAGAAAAAGTAGTCAGATTGTGACTGGATAGAGAGAGCTACAAGAACTCTGACTCTTTTGACTATTTCTGATGTAGAAGAGAAGGCAGAACTCTTTGAAACAGATACTTAGAAAAGTGGTATCAAAGGATAGGCTAGTTGTTGATATGCAAAAGAAAATAAAAAGCAAGAGAGGAGATGCATAAAGACAGCAAAAGCAAAGCTTCCTATCCATTTCCTTATCAACAAGAACTTCCCACAATTCCCTTGCCCCTCTCAAAGGTCTCTACCAGTTAGCAGCTCTAAGCTAACTTCCATCATTCTTTGCATGAAAAGATTAAGTACTGAGGGAATTTTATAAAATTCCCTGTATTTGACCCTTAAAAAAAAGTTTTGGGTATAGGTTACTTTTTTTTATAAAAGCATAGTTGACAACTCTCTTTTTAAAATACTTTTCTTATTGGCTTCCACGACACCTCAGTCTGCTGCTTTCTTCTGTCGCAAAGACCCCTTCAACTCCTGTGCTCGTTCTTTTTCCTCTGCTTGACCTTTCAAGGACCTTCTTCCTTTTCCACATGTTCTCTGTCTCTCATGCTTTAAACAGCACTTACATACCAAATATTCCTATCTAGTCCTCTGCTCTAAACTCAAGACTATGAGTTCTACCCGGATACCTAACAGGTATATCTAAAATTACCATAAAAAGTGCTTATTTTCCCCCTCCAAATTCTATTAGCTATCTTAGTAAATGGCACCTCTAATTTGTCCTTTTACTTAAGGCAAAGAAACTAAGCTACGTTTGACTCTACTCTGCCTTAACTCCATACTATGTTCAAAGCAGCAAGCCCTACCATCTAAGTCCAAAACATCTCAAATTCATCACACCAGTCCATCCCCACTTCCACTGAGATACGAACACCATTCCTTGCCTCTCTCTAATCCATCTCCTCTGCCACAGGATCTTAAAAATATAAAGCTGATTCAGGTCACTTCTTTGTTTAAAATACTCAAAACAGCCTCCCAAAGCATTCTGATTAAAACTCAAACACCCTGCTAAGTGATATGGCCTCTGCTTACTTCCCAACCTCACTGTATATGATTCCTCTTTATCTACTAGGTATAAGCCATGCTTAACCTTTCCATTCCTCAGACAAATCAAGCTCATTCCTACCACAGGTCCTCAGTTCTCTCTGCCTAGGATATTCTTCTTCTGATCTTCACATGGTTGGTTCCTTCTTATAAATCCTATTTCAGCTTAATTTTACTTCCTCAGAGAGGCTTTCCTTCCCCAAAGTCACTCCCTTACCTATCCTGTAACCCACTGTAACACTACTAACACCAATAGTGCCTGCATAAAGATGCTTAA